ATTTGTTTTATTTAAATTTAAAAAAATGATAATATAATAGTAAATAAAATTAGATTTTTGATTTAAAAATAAAAATTATTTATAAAAGTTAAGATGATATATTTAATTACAAAATTTTTATTTTTTTTTCTTTAAAAAGCATTTCTAATATAAATTCATATTTTTCTAATAATTTTAATGGTCTTTTTTGGAAAATGAATATTTGATATAATAGTTGTGATCGAAATAAAATGTTTTGTTCAATAATATTATGAAAAACGTATGAAGATTGCAATGAAAATGGAGGTGGCACTATATTATCTCAAAAAAATTGAGAGCCATGGCTTTTTGTTTGCATATTTGGTCTTTCTTTTTAATGTTCTATCTCGACGAAGACTTGAATTTTACAAACAATTTCGGCATTATTTTTTTCAAGATCCAAACATATATGGAAGATTCTAAAAAAACTACTATAATCTATCATTGTTCAAAATGTGGGAAATATTTATTAAGCAAAACTGGTGCAAGCTTGCATAACTGTATCGGAAAAATTAATAGAAATCAAAACCGAAATGATGTTCATAAAAAAGCATTAGAATCATTTTTACGCTATATCGCAACAGCCAATATTTCATTAAGATCTGCTACAAATCCATATCTTCAGTTGACTTTTCAAATACTTGATCAAACCTTTGTAATTCCAAACAGAAACAAGCTTTCAGAGGAATTAAAAAATCTTTCAAAAAGGATTCATCAAAATATGTTAACAAAAGTTGAAGGTAAAACAGTCTCACTGATGTGTGACGGAAGTTCACGATGGGGCGTTAAATACCAAGGAATAATTGTTTATACTTATAAACGATTATATGTTTATTCAGTAAATAGTGTACCAAACAATCAATCATTAACATTGGCTGAATTAATAGCATCTGTAGTAAATGATTTGAGCAGAAATAACACAACTGTTGTTGCAGTTTGTTGTGACAATGCGCGTTCCAATATATCTGCGTTCAATGGAAATAAAAACAGCGCACAACAAAAATCCGGTAAAAACTTTATACGACAACCATGCGCTGCACACACAGCAAATTTGGTGATAAAGGATTCCTTTGATTCAAAAGATGAATTTGGTTTTGTATACGAAATTATAACTTTTTTAATGAGGAATAAACCTGAAGAATCTTTCAGAAAAGGCTTTGCGCCAGCGTTGATTACAGAAAGATGGAGCTCACTTTTTAAATGCGTTCATTTTATCAGAATTAATTTTGGATTATATAAAGATCTTGACGATACTCAAATTAATGAAGCTTTAAATAAAATTCAAGAATCAATCAGTTGGGAAAATTTAGAAAGAATTCTTGAAATTATGTGGAATTTTATCGAAACTGTTGAAAAAGACTATTCTTGTATAGCTGATATAGTTCCAGCATATCTTATTGCAACTTCACAATTACAAGAAATTGATGCAAAGGCTTCTCAAAGAGTTTTGTTTCATTTGAAAAACAGATTTTATTCAACGTTATCGTTGAATTTGCCATTGGTTGCATTTCTCTTAACAAAGCCTGGGTTAATTTTTTATAGAAAGTATCACAAATCAGAAAATAGAATTTTAATGGCTGCTATTAATGGTTTAGTTAGTTATCAAAAAGAGCGAAAATTTGAACAAATAACCATCGAAACTAATCGATATATTTTCGTTCAATATTTGTCATTCTTTGATGAATCACAATTCAATGATGATGAAAAAGCAATTAATACATGGTTAAGAATTGCTAATGAGAATGTTTTGAAAATTCGTTCATCTTTTTTCAAGCTAGCAATAGAAATATTGCAAATACCATCTTCTGAAGCAGCTGTCGAGCGGTTATTTGCAGCTCTTTCAAGAGCTACTAGAGGAGAAATGTGCAATTCCAACGTTTCGTCACTTAATGCACGAATGATTGTGAAATTTGATAGTATTTTTAAGGAACTTGGTTCAATCAAATGGGAAGATTTTGCAGAAAAAATAGAACATTTTGATCTTTAAGCTTTTTACATAGAAATAGCAAGATAAACTCTCTAAATAAACAAATATTTAATAAATTAAATTATTTTTTATATAAATTGCACAAAAAAAATCAACTGGAATTAAATCAGCGGGAATTAAATTAACCAGAATTAAATCAACCGGAATTAAATCAACCGGAATTAAATTAACCGGAATTAAATCAACCGGAATTAAATCAACCAAATTTTGATTAACAGAAAATAATCAAGCGGAATTTGAAAAAATTATCAAAAAAAAATCCCAAATTAACAAATCCAGAAATTCAAGCTTTGAGGTATAAATCAATGCAATATATTAATTCACAAATTTTCTCAAAAATTAATACTTATTAAAAAAATAATTAAAAAAAAGGATAAATTCATAAAATCTATGCAACTAGATATTTTTTACTCTAATATTATCATTTAAAAGCATGAAAAAATGGTATCTAAAAATAATTTGAGACCCGTCCTTTCAATTTTATTCAAAATTGAATGATGGTCCCAAATCATAATGCCACCCTAAATTCTCTCATTTTTATTTATTGAAAAAGTTTAAAATAATTGTTGCAATGTCTAAGATAAAATTAATCATGAATAATTCGACTTACACGCTTCCTCTATCTAGAGCAATCCTAAATAAGATTCCCGAAGACAAAGAATATATATATAACCAACTTTTGTCCTTCCACCAATACCAAGTTCAATCTTCTGTTCCAAACGAGATTTTTCAATCATTTCTCGATTACTGGGAAAATGGTACAATTCCTCAAATAGATTTCATCAACATATGGTACTACTACACCCTTAAAGACGAATTTGGCATTTTGAGTGATCATCTTTCGTCACCAGAATATCAATCACTTTTTGACCTTGCATATTTGACCAACATGAATCAAACCCCGAATTTAAACAAATCTCACATTGAGAAACGAATTGCACACAATCTTGATTCTTACTTATCTAATCAATCAGATAAACTATGCCGAATTCCGATAAACTCGCTGTACAACATTTTCAACCACCCAGAGCGAAATCTGACTGAATACGATAGAGCATATCACTTCATCGTTGACAATGGCAGAAACGTAGATGAAAGCTTTTTCATCTTGCTTGGAAGTCTTGATGCAGGCAAATTCAGAGATCAAGAGAACAAGCGAGACGCATTTATTGGGAGGATGAACCACCTCGGCTTCGAGCCACGAAATGCAGATAACTTTGTTTTGGATATTGACCAGCAACTACAGAACTGCCGGCAGCAGATTGAACAACAACAAAGAAGCCTCGTTGAAGCCAATCAAAAAATTGAGCAACTTGAAGCAAATCAAAACAAAGCAAATCAAAACAAAGAAATTCTTTATAAAATTGTTGTTGTTGGTGATAACTTTGTTGGAAAAACAGCAATTTTAAAGCGACTTGTTATAGAGGAATTCGATGAAAATACTCAAGCAACAATTGGAGTAGAATTATTCTCTTATTTACTTAAGGCTGGTAATGAGAATGTTAAGCTTCAAATTTGGGATACAACTGGTGTTGAAAGATTCAGATTTATTGCAGAAGTTTATTTTAAGAATGCAGTAGGTGCCGTACTTGTTTTCGACTTAACAAATAGACATTCATTCAATACTCTCAGTAGATGGATCGATACAATCACCAGTCTTTGCGCTCCAAACGCTTATGTCGTCCTCGTTGGAAACAAGAATGATCTTGGAGGCGAAAGGAAAGTTACAGAAGCTGAGGCTCAAGAATTTGCAAGAAGGAACAATATTCTTTACCTTGAAACATCTGCCAAAACAGATTATAATATCAAAGTTATTTTTGAAAGGCTTGCACAAGGAATCACCAACCGTATCAAAGAAAATATTATACAAACTAATCAACCTCCAAATAATAGCTGAATTCTTAATGATAATCGATGAAATTAAAGAAAATAAGTTAATTAATGTTCATTATTTTTATTTTTCATAATATTTTAATAATTATTAAATTTTTCATACATAAGCTTGTTAAATTCTGATATCAATATCTAATGTACCCATAAAAATTTAAATTTGATATCAATATCGAAAATATTAAAAACATAAAAGATTCTTTTCAATTCCATCTCTCTTTTCTCAAAAATCAATCATTTATATTAAAACAATATAAAAGAATCTTTTATGATTGTAATTAGAAAATTGATTATTAATATAATTTCTATTAGATTTCTTAAAATTGAAATACTTAATATCTATATCATGTGCCGAAACAACGATTTCTGATATTGATTAACTGAATAACATCCAAGGTTTATTTCATATCAGAAAGCATGCCATTAATTAAGAGGTTTTCATGTAGAGAAATCTTCAAATAAAAAAGAAAAAAATCCCAAAAAAGTTAAAAAAGAAAATAAGCAGCCGAAAAAAGGTCACAAAAATAAATCAAGCAAAAAGAAGCGAGCAAAAAGTGATTCTGATACAGATGATAATTGTGGTTGTAATCATTGTGGTAAAAAGGAAAAGAAATAGCAAATCAAATGATGAAGCTTCTAACTAATAATTATTCTTTAATAATAATGAATTATTCTTTAATAATAAAATTTTATTTGGTAAATTTCCGTACTTTTTTAGAAAAATCATTCATTTCTGAGATCTTTGAAGAAATCAGCATTCATTGCATAGTTATTTAAAATATGTTCTATAGAAATCAGTGAAGAAAAATATTTGAGAAGCTTTTGCATCATGAGAAATTTGTATCATTTTACCGAATAATTCATTGGTAATTCTTCCAAGTTACACTATTTAACAGCTGAAAACTGTCGAAAATTTTATAAAATTTCCAAAATTTTTCAAAAAATTTCATTTCATTTTTAAAATTGTTTTCATTATTGATTGTAGCTTAATAATGAATCAAAATTAAAAGTTGGAGAAAATCTTTTTTTAACCTCCAATATATTCCAATTGTACGTGGTTTTCCAGTCTACAATCATGAATCTGAATCAAAAAAATTAAAAAAGACTGGCCCAAGGGGAATCGAACCGCTACCTCGAGAATGACAATCTCGTATCCTTACCATTAGACTATAGGCCAATACGAAATAAAGTATACATTTTCATGGCTCATAATATCAATAAATATGAAAAGTTAGAAGTTATTGGGAAAGGATAACTTTCGCAAGTATTCTGCTAAATCAAGAATATTCACTTTCGCAAGAATTAATCTGAATTATATATTAAATTTTGCTCATTCTGAAATAAATATATGTTCTGTTTATTTTGAATGGTTTTTCTATCCTTGAGTAGCTATGATAAGGTGAAATTTGACTTACTCTGTTAAGAAAATTAACCAAAAAAATCGTAAATTTAAAATATACCTCAAAATTATAACTATTTGCTTTTTTTGAAATAATTTTTTTTTATTTTTACATATTTTTTCAGGAATATACGTACCAGTGATCACTACAGGGCTGCGCAAAGCAGAATCGGGTTCCTTGAATTGCTGGATGAATCGAGAAGCTATTTGAACTAAAAAAGTATAAAAATATTCAAAAAGTTAAAATAAGATTCCCCCATTCAAAAAAGAAAAGTTGCTAAAATTGTTATTTTATTAAAAAAGAAAAGCAAATATAGTTGAAATTGTGTTTTATTAAAAATTGGAATTGTCATCAGATAAATCATTTCTATGCCTTTGCATAATTGTTTGAGTAATTTCTTTGACAATTTCGTAGTCTAATGGAACTGTTCTTCCGATTTGGTTAAAATGCTCGTAAATTGCGAAAAAAACGTTGTTCAATGTGAATAATAATACTTCATACCTTTTCCATATTGTTATAGATGTGAGAAGTCCTGCTTCACTGTTGTCCATATTTGGATTCGCTTCTCCTATCATCAGATCCATTTCCTGGGAACTCGTCTCTATTTGTGTATATTGGGCTCGTTGTTGGTTAACAGTTTCGTTAACAATATCGTTAACTGTCATCACACCAACTAACAACTCTGACATGGCATCTGAAAGATCCTGTGGTATCAAAGGTTTGCCTTTCACCAACCTCTCAAAATTATCTTTATTTATGTGGACGATTAAAAATTCATGAATTCCTTGAAGTATAAATGCACTGAAGTGAACATTGGATGAAACAAAGCCACTACCTACTTGAATAGTGTCACTTTTTGCAAATAATAAGTATTTACAATTTTTGGCTCTCGGACTATCAAAGAAATTGTACCAGGCTTGTATAGAGCTTAGGTTCTGTGCTGAAATGTTCACGGTAGTAGGCTCAATAGTTTCGATGACTTCTTCGGTTTTTTCTCTACGGCTGAGTATAGCTTTATGGGTAAATCATGTATCTCTTGAACTGCTTCGGCTGTGACTTCAGGATAAGGCCGCACTTCAAAGCTCAAAGTAAGTTGTCTGCTCATTGCAAAGTATTCTGTGAAGTCATCTGTGGTCTTTATTTTTTTTTTTAAAAAAAAAAAAAAAATTATGAAAAATTGATAAAATGAAACTTTTTGTATGGTTTAAGCTCAGAAAAAGTTACTTTTTTCATAGCTTTTTGTTATAAATTAATAAACCTATATTTCAGTTTATTATCTAGGCTTTTTATTTAATTTTTTTTTTGGGAGATAATTTTTGACCCCAATCTCTTTTCCCCCCAACGGTTAAGGTCAATATTGACCCTGTATCGTACTTCAGAAAAAATCGGCGAGAACTTTTTTGCACTTTTGTGAAAACCAATTTCAAAAAAATTTCTTCCATCCCGAGTAAGTTATTCTTAATTAGTATCTCATTGTAGTAATTATAAAACCAATTTTTTCTTTTTTTGGTAAAAAAAAATATAAATCAATAATATTAATGATATCTCTTTATAAAAAAAATATATAAGATTTTCTTCACATATTCTTGCCTATGATGTTATAAATAACAATGTATGTTTACTAATTTTTTCAAAATTATACAATTAGCATTATTTGTAAAAAATTATAATTTAGCGAAAAAAGCAATTTTTATTTAATATAATTTCTTAATTTGCTTTCTTTTTTTAACGTTGGAATGAATATTTAATGGTATAAAATACATATTTTATCCGTCGTAGAAAATGGATAGATGATAAAGCTCTTCTTCGTGCTGATCATTTGGCAAATAATTATATTACATTTCATCAGATATATCTGATACAAGGAATGTCCACATGGTTTAGGCTCTGATGGTTTCTTTCTTTTTAATTTAGAATAGCTGAGGAAACCGTTTTTTTTTTTTTTTTTTTCATTCAAAAAAAAAAAAAAAAAAAAAGGGAAATCGTAATCGCCCGTAATCGTAATCGCCCGTGGCGGTTTAGGTCAATATTGACCTTGTATCGTACCATAGAAAAAAAAGTCTGGAACTTTTTTGTACTTTTGCAAGAAAAAGCATGGGTAGCTACTCATGGTTTTTTCTATATATATAAAAAAATATAAACCGAATATTTTTTTATTGTCTAAAATCGATAAAAACCATGAGTAGCTACAGTAGATATGTTAGGGGGTGCTCCGCTCAATGAGCTCCGCACACCCCTAACGCAGTGAAACACCCCCCTCTGATCAGTCATTTACGTAGTTCGACACCGAAGTTCATCAACGACCACTCTATTGATGTAAACTGACTCACTTTCGATTCATAAGACCCATCGAATGGTCACTTGCGTAAGATCATATGCGCAGTAGGTCTATTATTTTTGGTTTGTACCGTTAAGAGTCGATCATTAACGAACAATATCACTAACGAACTTATCATAAATGTATATCACTAACGAAGTTATCATAAACGATCCAGCTATTCTAAACCAATTTTAATTTAACTTTTTTATTCCTTCTACTGCATTAAACTAGCACAAGATCATCTCCGCATGTAACATTTTACTTTAAATGAAACATGAACAGCGAAGAAGAAGCCAGATTATTCGAACTCGACTTCCACACTCGTAAAGAGATTACTATAAACGATATTAGTTCGTATTCGATAACGATTCCGTTAAAGCATGTACAGCGCAAGAACGTTAAACCAGAAACGATGTTGTATAATCTCACGAAAACGATTAACTGGAACAATATATCCGATATAGATTTCACAGAGAGATCTACTAACAACCATAAACTTAATCCATTAAGTGATAGATTCTGCGACAACGTTATCTTCTGTTACATGGTTCCAATAGATCCGCATAACAAGAACAAGAACGATTATCTATCGAAGTACCTCGCAGAACACACATCTAAGATTAAACGAATATTACAGTCCCATGATATTAACGTTAACAAACGATATATTAAACCAACGTATAGTAGCAAAGAAGGTGAATACTATAAACAGTACATTAAAGTTGCATTACCAGCGATTCCAGTTAACGATGTATTCGCTTTAATTACTAGCGAAGAAGCTATTAAATCCTTTAACAATGAAGGTATCTACATTAACGATATCGACTTTACACAAGACTTCGCTGGTGTTATTAACAAAGAAGAGGTGATCCAGTATCTGATAGACAATAACGACTATGTTATGGAAGGTTCCAATAACGATGGAGACTATGTAATTATGGACAACGACAAACTAGTTGGTAAGAACTGTCTTACCTTCATCCATAACACAGAACACGGTAAAGTTTTCTTATTTTTAACTTTTATTTATCTTTTTTATTATAAATATTTTCATATTAATTTTCCTTATTATCATTCTCTCCTTTTTTGAATGCTTTTTTTTTGAATATAATTGCGATAATTTTGTTTGCTGCCATATATTATAAACAAAGATTTATTTAATTTTATGATCAATCCATCTAAATGTTACCTCTAGTTCTGACTATTTTTCTGGATTTCGTTAAAATTTTTCTCATATTGGCACAAGCTTTATTTTTTCACAATATCAAGTACAAATTTGACCTCAGCAACTGAATGAAACAAACACGGCAGTATATTTTAATTGTTTTTCTTATTCCGAAACTTTTTCACTCACTCCAAAACTTTCAATATTATATAACCTCTAAAAGTCAAGCTTTGGCATCAATAATAACTTAAACCAAATAAATTTCCAGGTTTCCGATAAATTTTCCTCATATATATCGAATATATTTCGCATTTTTAATTTCACTCTTATGATTCGTAGTTTATTAATAAATTAAAGAATATAGAAATTAAAGAAGAAAAGATTAGGAAGAAGAAAGAAAAATATACAATGGTTATAGTTATATATTGATGATACAAGACCTCTGGACATCAAACGACCGTTTAATTTTTTATTTTTCACTTTTTGATTGAAAAATTTTGATATTTTTAAATAATAATTATATTATAATAATCTACAAATGAATGCAGATTAGAAAATAGTAAAATTATAAACAAATATGAGGAAAATAAAAAATATGCTTTTTCGAAACGATCAAAATTCACCTTTATAAACGCAATGAAGGTCAAAATAAATCAACATTTTATCAAAATCTAGCGCCAGAATCTTTATAATAATTTGATATTTTAATACATGCATGAATCTTGATCTATGTTTAGAATATCAAGATTTTTTAACAGAGATTGCGTCATGCCCAGAGGTCTATGATACATTGTTTTATTTTAAATTAATTCAATTTTCAATACATTTGAATTTTTCTAATAAAGATTATTCAATTATTTTCTATTTACTATTTAATTTTCAATTGTCCAAAAAATAGACCTGAGAAAAATAAAATAAACTTATCAATTTTTAAAATAATATATTGAATTCCCCTCAATTAAATTGTGAGGTCTAGTTTTTGGAAGGTAGTTTAAAATAATTTTATGATAACAATTATATTTATTTGTTATAGATAAAACTCAATTCTTATTTATTTTTGCTTTTATAAAAAAAAATGCATTTTCATATAAAATTACCCTTTAAATAATAACCCTTTGGGTAAGGAAAATAGATTTAAGGGACCACTATCAAATTCTGTGTTAAAAATTCTATGAGTTATCACAAAATTAATTGACTTAAAAAAAATTATTTCTTGAGTATTTTTGCAATATTTTGGTATATATAAATTATATAAATTATATAAATTATATAAATTATATAAATTATATATC